GAAATTTTCTCTTGAAACAGAATGAATGAAACCAGAAAATGATGTAGCACCTTTTGCCTTAATGCCACGAGTCGTGCAGCCGGGAGCTTCCATCCAGAGGCTGCGTCACACATGCGTTGACGTTTCCATTTAGTCACTAACCTCCAGGAGAGTTGAAAGTTTTTTCTTGTCTTTGTTCTAATCCATCTTAAACTCTATATATACATACACAGCAGAGCTACAGTCTCTACACATAAAAGATGATCTGCCTCTGACCACATTAGTGGGTCTACTCAGTCTGGTTGACATCTAGGGCAAAGCGTACGACCCCGCTGCTCCTCCGAGGTTCGCCTCTTTCCAGCAGTGGCACTGATCCTCCTCCAGCAGCACCCTGGGAATGATGATGACTGGGTCGGAGAACCTCGTCTTTAGAATCTCTAGGAGGCAGAATATTTTTTTAGATACCAGAGAAAGAGACAAAAAGAGACACAAGATGAGGGAATTACCTTTGGCAAAACACAACTTCTGGGGTTGAGCTATTCACCCTGAGACCGCTCATTATCTTCTTTAGGAAGTATATAAAAAAAGTATTTGCAAATGACAAAAGTCCACATTTTAAATCTGCTCCAATCATATAATTTGTGGAATGAGGGTCTCACGGTGTTTTTTTCAAAATGCAGATAAAGAAATGAAGTTCAACCACAGAAAAAAAAATCACACTTAAAAACAATCAGAAGGAACCATTAAATCATTAGCATGCACTTACAATTTCCTCTGAAATTTGTCTTTCCAAGGTGCCGTTGCTTCCCTCATTCCATTCATACTTACCCTCCATCTTATATCCTTTCGTGTTCAAGATAGAGGGCAAAGCCTAGGCCACTATATGGAAGTGAAACTCAGATTGCAGGTCCAACAGAAAACAGGGGTGGCATGCTTTAGAAACACAGTTTAATGCAAAAAAAAAAGTTAGAGTGCAGAAGAAAATTAACCGTCGACTTCAGTTGCCATAAAAAAGAGGCCATGTTCATGTGAGCAGGACACATGAGAGACCCTTCTTATACGAGACCTTGTAAAATGGATCAACATCCCGTTAGGTGTGCAGTCTCTGATAAATCAACCAAAGATTTCATTTTCTGGTCCAATCCAAAATGGTGCATGATTGTCTAATGGATCATTTTATACACAAGCTTACTAGATTTTTTACAAATACTCTAAATACTGTCTCTTAGCTAAATAGATCATTGATGGACAATATCTGATTAATTTATTTCAATTCAGTTTATTTAGATTGCACCAATTCCCAACAAATGTCATCTCAAGGCACTTTCCAGTTCACCAGATCATACAGTCAGATTGATTCAAAGTTTTCTATCTAAGAAAAACCAGTTGCTTTGTGTGAGGGATTGCCTTCAAGCCAATGAGTCGATGCAATCCACTGGTTTTCCTTAGATAGGAAACTTTGAATCAAATTGACTGTATGATGGCAATCATAGTCAAGGCAATCCCTCACACTAAACATGCTTGTAGCGACAGTGGACAGTAAAAACTCCCTTTTGGCGGGAAGAAACCTCCAGCAGAACCAGGCTTGGTGTGAGCGGCCATCTATCGAGGCCAACTATTATAATTTTTTGTGTTGTTGTTGGTGTTGGACTGTAAAAGTGGCCTGTTAGTCTGCCTTGCTTTCACCACACTGTCTCTATTCCACCAAAAGGGGCGATACCATCAATCAGGGTCTTCTGCTAGGTCAACAGTAACAACATTATCTAGGGTAGGAATAGCACTATGGACTGTAGCGCTGAATCCAGACAGCCTTAAACCTTACAGAAGTCATAATGCTATGTGCACACATAGAATGGTCAAACTGTTACTACAGCCTTCTGGTAAAGAAATTACAAAAATCAAAAGTTACACAAAAATAGGTAACAGCTGAAGCTCTCCGTTATAAAACCCAAAACAAATGGGGGTGTGGACATTAGCACGTGTAACAAACAGTTACTGTGACTAAATAATACATTTTTGTTGAACTCTGTGAGATTAGGGTTGTGACTTTACATCCTTTCAGGCAAAGGATTGTGGGTCAATCTTAGAGCGCCTAGTGGTAGAAAGCGATGTCAGCTAGTTCCTATGCTAACTAGAGTGGCGTTAAGAGCCATACTGCATCCTAACCATAGCTCCGTCCTTAATGTTAGCACTATCTAGGTAGCACATAGCAACTATGGTGGCACTTCCCATGTTAGTTAATAGTCCACACCTCTTTGAGGTATTCAAATTGAGTGTAAGACACAGGGAAATAAATGATTGCTAACTGCTAATGTGGCACATGAACAAGCATATAGGCTACACGAGACAAATTCTTCTTCTAAATGGCCATTGAAAAAAAGGGGATATAAAAAGGGATCAGAACGAGCTAGACTGACTTTTCTTTTCCTGAAAATTATTAAACATAATTTCAAAGAGCTTGAGAAGGATTGTATGAGTCAAATACCAATTTATGACAACCGTAAATGTTTCAGTTAGAAGGTGAACATCCATTCTGGTCTCAAATGTGAACACTCTTCAGGATCCCTGTCTAATTAGCTCCTTTGGTCATAGCATGATGCTGCCACCGCCATGCTTCATGGTATGTTTGCAAATAATCGAGTTTTGGTTTCATCTGATCATAGCATCATGCTCTCCTTGCCCGGTGCTGCAGTGTAGAAAAATAAAAATTCTATATTTATGAATCATCCTTCTAATCTCTAGATGATGGATTGAATAGCTATGTGTGAGAAGTTGAAAGTTTAGGTGTTTTAAAATCCAATACTGTTTTTTTAATATTTCCTAATTTCCTCCCTGACCTGTTTGTTTCTTGGTCCTCATGTTCACCAACGTTCTCCAAGAAACCTGATTTTTTTTTTTTTTTTTTTTCACGTCAAATAAGCCTTAATTATTTCCTACTATACAGTAATGTGTCCCTTTTGGTTGGTTTATCACACATAAATTGCACTGAAGTCTGTGTTTGACAAATCGCTGAAAGGATAGACTTTTGCAAGGAACTGTATGAGAGGGTCACCTTTTAAAAGAAAAATAAAGATCATGCAGTATCCAGAGATCATGAAGGCTGGATGCATTACAGCAGCTGGTTCAGGAATGGTTGGAGATGACTGGACCGCACCTCAGACCTCCTAAAGAGGAGCCAACATGAGGATTTTTGCATGGGTAGAATGTGAGAGCAGGCAGGCAGGTGGACGGCCTCCGCCATACCCTCCCCCCAACTCATAGCCTCCATATGGAAGAGAAACACGGAGTGGAATCGAGCAAAGACAATGTGGTGGTTTGTTCAGAACAGAAAAGAAAAAAAAAAACAGTGCCACTGTAATAGAAAACCAAAAAAAGCAAATAACTCCATGAGCAGGTATGAATGAGAATGAGAGGCGTTTCTGGCTGCGTTTGGCTTTCTCTGCTCCTGTGATTGGGATTACCTGGGATTGGGTAGTGCACAGCCCCACAGGTGTTGCTTTAGAGTCTGCACCCAGCCAATATCTCGGATTGGCTGGCAGAGTTGTATGTAGTGGTACTGTTTTAGCACAACCCTTCAAATGAATCAGAATGTCACTCATTAGCACAGAACAGACTGCACACAGCATCATCTGATAATAACAACACTTAGAAATAACATACAGGAGAGGGGTACATCTAACATCATACATCTATGTTTCTGGATGTAGCTTGAAGCATCGACATCATATTCTGGAATGAGCTTCTTCTCTTCACACACATGCCGCTCTATAAACAGGATGAGTTCTTGGAATATATTGAGACGTGATGCAAAAATAATATATTCTTCAGTTCCCATGAGAGGAAAACATGCGTGTTGGAAGAGATGCCCCGGCTCATGCCAGAATGCATCCTTGCTAAGCATAGCGCTGGGGAGTGTGGGGGTTGAGAACTGCATTCTCTTCCATGTGGATAGAACTGATTGAATGGCAAAGACTGGGACAGGGGGAGCGCTGACAGATACCTGCAACCCACTAACCTTTAACCATTCCTCTCAGCAAAAGAAGCAAAGAAGACACCGCTTTTTCTGCGTTTCGCATTTATTTATGTTTCATTAAATAAGATCAAGCAGATAAAACACAAGCACGTCACAGTTTATTTTTTTGTCCAAGACATTACTTTCTTCAGCATACTTTCTATCCTTATTTTGCCTGATAAATACATTTAGATAGCACCGAGTGTTGGTGTTCTACTTTACATTAAAAAGCCCCTCCCCCCTTGTGTTACATGACAAGGTACCCCCACCCTCCAAACCATCCCCAATCAAAGGCTGCAAAACGCTAATGAGTCGGGCCATCGTCCCAGATGGGGTTGGCGTTCAGCTCGGATATGAACGGCGGTGATGGTTGCTGAAGAGACAGAACAGAGACAGAGAACCTTCAGTCGTTCTAAATGAAGGAGAAGATGTTGAGCTGATGATGTGACACAGTGAACAGACTTTACACGGCTTCTCTGAGCTGGAACATGACCCCTCTGCTGGAGCTGTGCTCCTGCTCCCAGAAATGAATGCAAAGAAAGGAAGATTATGGTGATGCTTGTGTTAAAAGGCATTTATATCAATTTCCAAAAGCTTTCCACCAACCAGCAGGGAACTAAATGAAAAGACCAAATTATTTCTGACTGCTCAACAAATAAGATCTTTTAAAATTAGAATAGAACATCATTGGAGCACCAGTTGACAAAATGTATTCTAACTA